GGAAGTATGCACCATGATCTCAAACTATACTACAAAGTTATAATAGTCAAAACTTTTTATGGTACTGGCATAAAAACAGACACATAGATCACTAGAAGAGAATAGAAAAGTCCATAAATAAACTCTCATATGGACAAAGGAAGCAAGAATACATAACGGAGAGATGATAATGTCTTTGAAAAGTAGTGTTGAAAAGAACAGATAGATACCTGCAAAAAAAAGAAACTGGACTACTCTTTTACACAATATACAAAAATAAACTCAAAATGAATTAAGACTGAAATTAAGAACTGAAACCATAAAACTTCTAAAATAGATAGCAACCTCTTTGAGATCAATCTTAGTAACATCTTTTTACATAGTCCCCTTGAGCAAAGGAAACAAAAGCAAAAATAAAGAAATGGGAAAAAAAAAAGAAACGGGACTACATAAAACAAAAGCTTCTCCAGCGTGAGAAACCTTTCACAAAATGGAAGACAATCTACTGAATTGGAAAATGCAAATGATATGTGCAATATGGGGTTAACATCTAGAAACTCGTATCTCAATGACAAAAAAACAATTTGATTAAAAACTAGGCAGAGGAAATGAAGAGATATATCTTCAAGGAAGACATACAGATGTCAACAGACATATGAAAAGATGCTTAACATCAGTAATTATTAGGGAAATGCAACCAGGAGATAACATCTGACACCTGTCATAATGGCTATTATCAAAGTTAATAAATAACAAATATGGGTGAAGATGTGGAGAAATCCACTTCTGGGTATTTATTTGAAGGAAATGAAAACACAAACTTGAAAAGATATATGCACTCTGCTCCCCAGGCTTCAGGCACCACAATATCCCTTTGCTTGTGATGCAGGGAGACAATATATTCAGTAGAATGGGGTGCAAGACCTTTGTTTCTGCCTGGAAAGAGGGCTTGGACAATGAGGCATTCTGCCCTCTTGTTGCCATAATTCCTTTCCACTCAGATCAAGAGCTGGTAGGAGATGAGTTCTGATGGCATTCTGTATTGCTTTGCATTTTGGTTTGTGTCTGGTTATTCCCACTCACTCCACCCTCCTTTGGACATCTTACCCGGTCTATGAGCTCTTTTACCAGCCTATGCTGTGGAACTGCCATGGCATTTAGTTCAAAGTTGAGGGATGTTGGCCTGAAATAAAATTCACTTATTAAAAAAAAAAGTTCCTTGCAGCATTACTTTAAATAGCCAAGAAATGGAAGTAACCTAGGTATCCATTGATAGATGAATGGATAAAAAAGATGTGGTATATATATATACAATGAAATATTATTCCGAAATAAAAAAAAATCCTGCTATGTAAAACATGGACCTAAAGGGTAATACACTAAGTGAAATAAGTCAGAGAAAGACTAATACTGCATGACTTCAGTTATATGTGTCATTAAACAAAATCAAAACAAACAAACAAAACAGAGACTTACAGAAACAGGGACTTCAAGCCAAGATGGAGGCATAGGTGGACACACTGTGCCTCCTCGCACAACCAATAGAAGAACGGCAAAAAATTTAAAAACAAAAAAACCACCAGAACTGCCAGAAAATAAAACTGTATGGAAGTCCAACAACCAAGGAGTTGAAGAAGAAACACTCACCCAGACTGGGGCAGAGATGGGCAGCTGGGTAGAAAGGATGTGCAGCGAGGTGGTGGCTGGAGGACTAGGTGAGGCAGTGGCTTGCAGACTGGGTGGTCTCACATTTGCATGCAGATAAACTGGGAGGAACAACTGAAGCTCGAGATAGACCCACAACCTAGGGTCCCAGCATCAGAAATAAAGCCTCAAAACTCTGACCAAAAACACCTGTGCGGGTTGCGGCAGCAGGAAAAACTCCCAGCCTCACAGTACAGCTTGTTGCCCTTCTCCACATACAAAGTCACAACACAGCAACAAGGGTTCCCCCACCCTGGTGAACACCTACGTCTCCGGCTCTTACTACATAAGAGGCCCACCAAGCCAAAAAAAAAAAGGCCCAAGTGAAAGAACAGATGAAAACTCTGGAAAAAATACAACTAAGCAACGAAGAAATAGCCAACCAATCAGATGCAAAGTTCAAAACACTGGTAATCAGGATGCTCACAGAACTGCTTGAGCTCAGTCGAAAAATGAAGGAACAAATAAGGCTACCCAAAGTGAAATAAAGCAAAATATACAGGGAATCAACAGTGACAGGAAGGAAACCGGTACTCAAGTCAATAGCGTGGAGCAGAAGGAAGAAACATTCCACCAGGACAGAATGAAGAAAGAAAAATTTAAAAAAACGAGAAGAGGCTTAGGAATCTCTAGGTCAACATTAGATGTTTCAACATCTAAATCATACGGGTACCAGAAGGAGAAGAGAAAGAGCAAGTGGAAAACTTATTTGAACAAATAATAATAGAGAACTTCCCCAATCTGGCAAAGGAAATAGACTTCCAGAAAGTCCAGGAAGCTCAGAGTCTCCCAAAGAAGTTGGACTCAAGAAGGAACACACCAAGGCACATCATCATTACATTAGCCAAGATTAAAATGAAGGAGAGAATTCTAGAAGCAGCAAGAGATAAGGGGGACAGTCATCTACAAAGGAGTTTCCATCAGACTATCAGCTGATTTCTCAAGAGACCTTCCAGGCAAGAAGGGGCTGGAAAGAAGTATTTGAAGTCATCAAATCCAAAGACCTACATTCAAGATTGCTCTACCCAGCAAAGCTTTCATTTAGAATGGAAGGGCAGATAAAGTGTTTCCCAGATAAAGTCAAGTTAAAGGAGTTCATCATGACCACACCCTTATTATATGAAATGTTAAAGGGACTTATCTAAGAAAAAGAAGATAAAAAATATGAACAGTGGAAGGACAGCAAACTCACAGTTATTAACAACCACACCTAAAACAAAAGCAAACAAGCAAACAACTAGAACAGGAACAGAATCACAGAAATGGAGATCATATGGAGAATTATCAGCAGAGGAGTGGGAGGGGGAGAATGAGGGAAAAGGTACAGAGACTAAATAGCATAGATGGTAGGTAGAAAATAGACGGGGAGGTTAAGAATAGTATGGGAAATGTAGAAGCCAAAGTACTTATATGTACAACCCATGGACATGAACTGAAAGGGGGGAATATGGGCGGGATGGGGTTTGCAGGGTGGAGGGGAATAAAGGGGGGGAAATGCAACAAATGTAATAGCATAATCAATAAAATATATTAAAAAAAAAGAAACAACCCCCCCAAACTGATGGCTGCCAGAAAAGATGGGTAAAAAAGGTAAAGGGGTGTATAATGAATATATGGTAAGCACAGTGTAAGATATATAAACATCTAATCACTGTTGCACACCTGGAACTAATATAATATTGTATGCCAACTATACTTTAATAAAAAGTAAATGTCAGAAGTAGATCCAAACTTAGGAGTATGAGAGTCCCTCAAGGCATAAATGGGCTCTTGATTCACCTTATAAGTTACACAATGTGAAGGTTAGCTCTATTCCAACTACTCTCCGATCATTTTAAGAAAGAAAATATTTGAATTTTCAACACTTCTTATGTTCTGAATTAGAGTATACTAAGTAAATATTAATTTCACTATTTTTTCATTTCCTTATAAAACTGACAGCTGTTAATATTTTCACAAATGTTTTTGAAGTTCACATAATAATCCTGTATTCCTCCACTGAATAAGATCACTTTGCACAATTTTAGTTTCCATGTTTTTCCCCCCACATTTCTGCATTAATGTGCAGTTATGTCTCCAACTACTCCTATATTAATGTCTTGGTTCCTGCTCTTTCCTTTGTCTGATACTATAAAAGATTAGGGAACATATGGCTTACTCCTTCATGCTCTTAAACCTCTGCTGAGATAGCCTTTTTATTAGACATCATCTCCTCCATATCACTTTATTTTTATTATTTAACATATTTTTAAATATTTTATTTATTTAGTTTTAGAGAGGGGGAAGGGAGGAAAAAATAGAAGAGAAACATAAGTGTGCGGTTGCCTCTTGATAGCCCCCTACTGGGGACCTGGCCTGCAACCCAGGCATGTGCCCTGACTGGGAGTAGCACTAGTGACCTTCTGGTTCGTGGGCTGGTACTCAGTCCACTGAGCCACACCAGCTAGGGCACTTCCCCCATTACTTTTATATTCACTTTACACTGTTTTTTTCTTCACGTATTTATTAAGTCTTTTAAAAATATTTCATTGTTTATGCTATTATAGTTGTCCATTATTTTTTTTACACTCACTAGAAAGTAAGCTAAGAAGAACGGTTTGTCTGTTTTAGTCACTCTTACATATCCCCAGATTCTACAATGACACTTGGCACACGCTAGGCATTCATAATTCCTTTTTGAATAAAGTTTTATGAAGTATACCTAAATACATTAATATGGCAAGCTATTACTGACATAAGTTAAAAAAATCAGCAAGATCTTGTTTTTAAGGGTCTGTCAATCTATATATATGTGTGCATGTATGTAGAAAAAGATGTGCAAAGATACTTAACAAAACTGTTACCAATCAATGATATTCTGGGGAGTGAGACTGACAAAGAGTAGAAAAGTAATTTTCACTCTAGACTTTAAGTATTTTTACATTGCCTCATTTTTATCCAAAATAATTTCACTTTCCAAATTAAGATGATACAGAATAAAGAAAAAAAGCATGTATAACTATTGCCATAATGCCATTTATGACAGCAAAAATAACTGGGTGTTTACTACAACACAGGCTCTATTCTAAGCACTTTTCTTCAGTCATTTCATTTGAATACATAGGAATCTGATGAAATAAATGTTATACATATGCCCATTTCATAAATGAGGCAATGAGAGGCAAAGAAGTTGAAAAATGTGTGCAGGTCATGTAGATAAGAACAGCATATAAAAACTGCACATAAGCAAATTATGTGAAATTGCTCATGTTGATTAGACTCTTTCTTCCCCAATTATGTGCAGTTGGAGGCAAGAGTAGTAACATCTTTGTGCTCACCCTGCTGGCCTAGGTGACCCAGATGTACTCCGCAAAGAGCTTTCCACTCGAGGGTTAGACACTTCAGGAGGCTGAGGAGGAATGAGGGTTTTTCGAACTGCAATTCTGAAAGAGAAGGCAAACCAAAACACCCCAGCAGTCTAAGGGTATAAAAAGATAATAAGTACAAAGATACACATTTCCTAGGCATACCTACAGCAAAATAAAAGCATCGTACTATTTTTAATAATTTTAAAAAACATTATCAAAGTGATATAGGCACAATATTTTAAAAAGTCAAATAGTACTAAAAGGCTTTAAAACAAAATACAGCAGGTCCCTTCCCTACTCCTCCCCACTTCCTGCCCGTCACTCTCCAGGAAGCAACCACTGTGACTCTACTTACTTTTTCTGGCATACTTTATCACCTTTCTACTTAATATTAAAATTTAAGCCTATATTAAGGGTTTGCAATCATTAAAATGTCTATGCATTTATATTGACTTGAGCCAACTACTAGAAACCAAGTGAGAAATGTTGATCAAGGTAGGTAGTAACCAACTGTGCCATACAGTAGAGACCTCGTATGGCTCAGACTGAGAATTAACCATTAGGTTTAGCAATGTAGAAGTCATGAGTGATCTTGACATGTTTAGTTTTGGCAGAGGGGGAACAAATGTCAGACGAGAGTGGGTTTGAGAGAAAATGGCTAGAACCAGAATGTACCGTGTTATAATGCCCAATGATTAATGAATCTAGACACTGAACCTCAAGACATCTAGCATCTCAAAAAGGGTGACCAGCAGACATGTCTCCTGGTACAGTAATATACAATGGACTTATAAAGTACTCATGAGAAAAGAAAAAAAAGTGAATCTAATCAAGCCTTTAAGATTCAAGTAACAGCAGAGAGAAAACATGGAGGAGAGAACAAGTGAAACTACACTATGGGGGAAGTGGGTTTAATTGTGCTCCCTAAAAAGATATAGCTAAGTCCTAATCCCTAGCACCTGTGAATGTAAAAAAAAAAGGGGTCTTTGTAAATGCAATTAAGGTAAATCTTGAGATTATTCTAGATTTACAGTATGCCCTAAATCCAGTAACTGGTAGTTAGCAAACAGAAAGGAGAGGGAAATTTGAGACACAGACATAGAGGGAAGGTCATGTGAACACTGGAGTGAGGAGTCCACAAGTCAGGAAATGCAAAGGATTGCAAATAGCTGCCAGAAGGTAGAAGAGGAGCACGGAGTGGCTTCTCCCTAAGAGCATTCAGAAGGAACCAACCCTGCCAATACTTCAATTTCAGATTTCTAGCCACCAGAACTGTGAGAGTAAGTGTTGTTCTTAGTCACCAAATCTGTGGTAACTTGTTATAGCAGTCCTAGGAAACTAATATAGGGGAGATGCAATCAACGAAATCCAAGGAGAGAGAGAAAGAGGAAAAACTATAGGACCAAAGACCAAGTTTCTTCAACAAATAAATTTTAAGAAAAAAAAGATATGGAGGAAACCTACATATTAGAAGAACCTTAGGATACATATCCACTAATCATGTGTATATCTTATCAGAATACTAATTCAATTAAATAATACAAAACAAAATGTGTGACATTTGAGATCACTGGAAATTTGAACAGTGATTAGGTAATTGATGACATTAAGTGGATATTGTATTTTTTAGTATATGTCTCTCAACAGACACATGCTGAGATACATATGAATGAAACAATGTGTTTGGATTTGCTTCAAAATAACATGATGGAAAAGGGTGGGTAGGCATCTAGATAAAATTGAGCATGAGCTGATAAGTTGATAAGTTGAAACTGAATAAATGGGTACACAATGATATGCACAAAATTTTATTATGTTTAAACTTTTCCATAAGAAACAAAAAAGTCAAACTCTACTAAATACTCCCCAGAAGCAAAGCAAAACAAAACAAAACAAACCCTGACCTCCCACACTAATGGGATATACCACTATAAACACAGAATGACTAAACTTAAAAAGTGTGCCAGTAACAAGAGTTGGTAATGATGAATGCAATCATCCCCATAGGTAGTCAGGATTTAAGCGTATATAAGCACTTAGAAAAACTACTGGCATAATCTACTACAGTTGAACATAAGTAGTGCCTAACCCAATTAAGCAAACTATATTTAGAACCAGCGGTTTCATTTGGTACCTCTGGGTCTACTCACCCATCTGTGGCAGGTTTCTTCCGAAGTATGCTTGGCCGGGGGGATGAGCCCTGGGCTGGAGCATTGGTGCTACCACTCTGGCTGTGGGTCTGCACCACAGTTGTTGCTGCTGGAGAAGCACTGAATGGGTTGCTAATAGGGTTGGCTACAATTGTGGCTCCATCAGCCAACACCACTGCTGGAGGACAGGGTGGGGTTAGGAAAGAGCAATAAAGAGAGGGAAAGGCAAGAAACATTACTAAAATGTCTTATAAAACAAGAATTATTGTATCCATGTTGTGACTATCCAATTTCAAGAAGATAAGAAATGGGAACATAACGTTCTTTTGTTTAGAAGATAAAAGGCAAAGTAGCATTTACTTTGCTCTATAGAGCAAAGTTACCATTTTCTTTGCTCTATAATCATAATAACTAAAATGAGGTAAGATATATAAAGTACATGGTACACTTTAAGAAATCTCCCAGTTTTTGTTAAATAAAACCACTTTCAATCCTAAAAATGATTCCAACATTCCAGTTTATCTTAATTTTACAGGTTTACATAAAATCTTCCCCAAAATCTTAACTAGAATGAGAAAACTCCTATTGTAGGGTGAATTTGCTCTTTCAACTATGAGTTTTAATTTACAGAATGCTTCTCACCATGTGCAAATGGCTATAAGGCTGTGTATGTATGCACTTTTAATGAGCCTGACAGGTAAGTTCAAAGCATCTCAAGTTACAAAGCAGAAATGACAGCTTAGAGGAATTAATTACCTGAGACCACAAGCCAGTAAGTGGCAGATCCAGGATATAAACCCATTATTATCTCTTTTCTCCATACCAAGTAAAATTACCTGAAGTCTTTCCTTCAGTTGGAGGCTGCTGAGTACCCACTGATGCAGGCTGAAGTCCTTGGGCACTGATTGGGGTTGCTGAGTGAATTCCCTGTGTGCCAATTGGTGCTGGCTGTATTCCTGGGGTCCCAATGGGGGCTGGCTGTATCCCCTGTGTATTGATGGGAGCAGGCTGGATCCCTTGAATGTGTCGAGCATGAGATGCATCCACTGTCATCAACTGCATGGGGTTCAGGTGAACTGTAGAAGCCACCCCAACACCAGTCTGAGCTGTTATGGCAGAATTTGGAGCTTGAGCTGAAACTAAAAAGGATGCAAAAACTGACTACAAGAATATTAGCTTTGATTGGACACAGTTCACATAAGGAAAACACTAAAAATGAAAACAGAATTTTTCTACTAAATGAGTTCTAAATCCTAAGTTTAAAAAAAAGCACTATTTAAAACTACACATTGAGGTTCCCCCTTACTTCCTACCAATTAGATATGATCTTTTTGCAGATTACTGAAAACAGCATTAAAACAAGAAAAAAGCAATCTATGTATTAAATTCCAAATGTGAGCCAAGCAACTGTGCTAAATAATTCATATAAAACTTTTAGGATACATCCAGAGTTTCCAAGTCAAGAACATTTTGTTTTAATTTATAGAACCACTATCATAAGCACTTCTGCAATACAGTGCTTATTCTATGGATATATAGAAATTTAAAATTCTATATATCCATAAAAAGAGAGAACAAGCAACTTTCCTTTTTCCTATACAGCAAATATATCACCTATGTGCATATTAAAAACAAACTCAAAAACAACAAAATCAAAAACAAAAACAATGCCCTGACCAGTGTAGCTTAGTTGGGTGGGTTTGTCCTGCAAAGCAAAAGGTTGCCAGTTCGATTCCCAGTAAGGGCACATGTCTGGGTTATGGTTTGGTCCCCAGAAGGAGCAGGTAAGAGGAGCAACTGATCACTGTTTCTCTCTCTTTCCTCCCTTCCCCTCTCTCTAAAAACAAATAAATAAAAAAAATTTTTAAATCATGCAGGAAGCAACAACAACAAAAAAATCTCTCACTATTTGTAGAAAGAAAACACAGTAACTTTTCTTCTTAGTTATCAAAACAACCCAGAAAAAGATATCTATAGCCTCATGTTTCAAAATAACCAAGACAGGGAAACAACCTAAGTGTCTGTTGATGGACAACTGGATTAAAAAAATGTGACACACACACACACACACACACACACACACACACACACGAACATTATTCAGCCATAAAAAAAGAACATTTGTAATAGGAGAGACCTTGACAGTATCATGCTAAAGTAAATAAGTCAGACAGAGAAGACAAATACCATATGTAAAATGTAAGGAAAAAACCCAGAAACACACCAAGTTCATATAAAAGAAAACAGACTGATCATTGCCAGAGGCTAAAGGGGGTACTGGGGAGAAGTGTGGGATGAGTAAAATGTGTGAAGAGGGTCAAAAGGTACAAACTTCCAATTATAAAATAAATAAGTCATGGGGATGCAATGCATGGCATGGTGGCTGAGTTGCATATTTGAAAGTTGCTAAGACAGTTCACATTGCAAGAAATTATCAAATCATTATACTGTACAACAGAGTCTAATATGGTATATGTTGATTATACCTCAATTAAAAATATATAATGGGAAGTTCTGTAAACCATGGAGAAAGAAGATAATTTTTTATGAATGAGAAAAATATAGCGAGAAATTAGTACATGTAAATTTATAGTCACTGCTATATCCCTTGTAAAATAAATAATCCAAGAGCACTATTAGTTTCTTTCTGAAAAGTATACCTTTGTTATTTCTGTTCAAACTTTGGTTATTTGCCTGAGGCAGACCATGCAGTCTAGTCACTATTCTAAGCCTTTTCAAGGTCCATCCTTAAAAAAAACTGTATCGTCAAACTGTACTCCAGCCAAAAGTGAACCACTCTGTTCCAAGCACATATTCTACACTAAGACTTTATTCACAGACAGAAGTGTACTTTTCTGTAATCCTACCATGGCTCTGTCCTATCCTTTCTGAGATGCTTTCCAAATACTACTTCCTTTAGGAAAATCATTCCTGACTTCCAACCCTACCATCTCATGTAGAAATAACCTCTCTTACCTCAGAAGCAGCACAGCTTTGTTCAAGCCTCTCTTCAGAAATGTAGTACTTAATCTATTGTAGTATCTCTTCAGGTCTTACTTCGCTATTAGACTCTAAGCTTGTTGAAAGTAAGATCTGTTTAAGAGTAAGCTTTAAAAATAAAGCCTTGCACAAGACCTTACACACAGTAGGGTGTCAATAAATATTTCTAGCATTAATAAATGCATGAATGAATAAATGAATTAATGAAATAAGAAACATCTCTGAAATAAATAAAATTTCAAGAATAATTTATGAGGGATTACTTACAAACTAGATAATGAATATATAATTACACATTCATAAATTAACTAGTAACTAATTAACCAACATGATTCCATCTTTATAAGCAACCAGAGACCATGAACAATTGTATCATAAACTATGTATTATAGCAATCACATATTTGGCAACATAGGAGTCTATTATATACAAATTTTCCTGTTTTCCTCTTGATTTGAAAAAATCTGCTTTAAAATAATTTAAAGTGAGCCACTGAATCTGTAACACTTGAAAAGAGAACAACGTAAGCTGATTTGTAGATTTTTCCTTCAGTTGTGTCCATCCGCGTCAGAGAAAGAATATATTATGTCTCATATGCGCACAATGGTGCACATCATATGCGCACAATGGTGCACATATGGGTACTGAAAGAAATAAAGTGTTGTTGTTTGCACTATTCATTTTTGTGTTAGTATCTATCAGGGCTATTAGAATAATAATGTAGAAATATAGAAACTTCTAATAGTGCTAGTAAAATGAATTTTTACAATAAATATTTATATAAAATGATAATGCTAACTCAAGAGACATGTTTTCAGTTGGCAAGTATTCAAAGAAATAAATATTGGTCACAAGTTACCTTTTGCAGAAAGGCAAAATGACTGCATTGTTATAGAAAGCCAAGGAAGTAGATGAAGAAATGATGGTAAGTGCAGCCACCGATAAAAAGACTTAAGTATTTTCAGCAATAAGCATAATATTTCTGGCAACAATCAAACATTTTTATCTCTATAAGATTGTTAGAGAAACCTCATCGGTCACGGAGGAACCAGACGGTAGGGAGACAGCAGCAGTACAGTAGTCTCTGGGATGGAGCAGGGAGAAACAGCCGGTGCAGGGTAGGGGAACCAGCGCCCAGTGGTGAGAGCCCAGCAGCGCTTGGGACAGCCTTCAGCGCCCAGACGGCTCCCTCCCTGGGATTTTTGGGCCGGGGACCTGCCAAGTGGCCCAAACAGAGGGGAGCAGAGGTGATTTCAGTCTGTGCATAGCTCGGAGGTACAGCGCCTGGTGGGAACTGTGTCTGGGAGAGTGCCTAACGGCGCCTGGGACAGCGTTCAGCGCCCGGACGGCTCCCTCCCTGGGATTTTTCTGCCAGGCAGGCCGAGTGGCCCAGGCAAAAAGGTGTGGAAGAAACTTCAGCCTGCGCGCAATTTGGGGAACTAGTCGCTCCACACACAGTGTGTCTGGGCAAGTGCCTGAGGGCACCTAGGCCAATGTTCAGTGCCTGGAAAGCTCCCTCCCTAGGATTTTTGGGCCCGGACCTGCCAAGAGACCCAACCAGAGGGGAGCAGAGGAGATTTCAGCCTGCACACAGTTCTGGGTCCAACGCCCTGCATGGTGCTGCTCCATCCCTAGGTTTTTTTTTTTGGCAGAGGTTGGCCAGGGGACCCAGACAAACACAGGAGCAGAAGAGATACACACCACGCAACGTGCCGCGACATGCGCACAGAGTTTCTAGGTCAGCGCCCAGTCCTCAGATCGGCTCCCGGTTTCCAGTGCACCCTCCTCAGAGTATCTGGAAGCCCCTGGCGCTGAGGGGTACTGGGGAAACAGCTGAGACCCTCAACCCCCTCCCTTTCTGGCCAAGCAAGGTGGGGGGCCAGGAGAGACTCTTTTGATAGCGCTGCAGAGAGGGTGCGGAGGACAAAGGGCCCCAACCAAGGACTCTGTGGTTGCCAGCCCAGGAGAACTCAGAGGTGCAGCCTGGGGCTCTGAATCCAGTAGACACGGCAGCCTGGTCTGCTTCACACCCAGCTTGGCAGCGAGCCCAGGACTGGGCAGAGGGCCTGGGGCTTCCCAACTGAACGGGGGCAGGTCTGTGCTCAATCCTGAGGGAACTAGGCAACTAAGCTGGTGCAGGTGCCTGCAAACACAGCAAACCAGCCTATGGCGGTAACCCCTGGGAGGGGAGCGCTGTGAGGAAGTCCTAGTTCCCAATTGTAGGGAGCTGGGGAGAGGTGCCAAGTGTCTGGATCCTGAGAGGGGCTGGCTGAAAAAATCACAACAATCAACCCTCAGCCAACTGCAACCAGAAAAGCCGGATCGGCTAGTTTGAAGCCAACAAGTGACATTTCCTTTTTTGTTGTTTTTGGGGGTTTCTTTTTGTTTGTGTGTTTTTTTGTTTTTTGGGGTTTTTTATTTTTGTTTGTTTGTTTTTTACTTTATTTTATTTTTATTCTTTCTTTTTTTTTTTTACCTTTCTTCCTTCTCCATTCCTTTTCTTTATCTTTTGGCTTTTTAAAAGTAATCTGTTATTTCTTTTAAAATTTATTACTGATTCATCTTTCCATACTTTGGTCCTCTTTACTCAAATTTTCTGTTTTATTTCTTTTTCTTTTCTTCCTAAACTTACTGTTCTTTCTTCCATTCCCCTACCATTTTTTTCTTTCTCCTTTTATTTCTTTCCTTGTCATTTCTTTCTTTTATCCACAAGAGACAAAATCAACTTGAAAATATGAAAAGACCAGAGCTGGACCCATAGAAGAGGCCTCCCAATAGTAGAGTCAGAGAGACAAATTGCACATTGTTGTAGGAGAGAAGCCAAAAGTTGCTGCATATTTGAGTAGGTGGAAGCAGAGAACAACAGGGTAACCAAAAGAGGCTGCACCACTGAAATTCACAGGCATTCCACCACAAAAGTTGACACCATAAACCCAGGGTGTCAAAACATTAATCTAAGAAGCTGAGGCTAACAAGAAGAGTCTCACAAACAATGGGAAGACAAAGAAACAATCCCCAAATGAAAGGAAAGGAGGAATCCTCAGAAAGAATGTTAGATGAAATAGAGGCAAGTCAACTATCAGATACTGAATTCAAAGCACTGGTTATCAGGAAGTTCAAAGAGCTCACAATCAGCTAC